TGTTAGGGTTCCAAACAGCAGCAGTTTCCCCCCTCCCCAACAGGGACCTCTCCTTGACCTTTGAAGTCAAGGGAAACAAACTCTGCTGAGAAGCAGCCTGCCTCTCCTCTGACCTCCAAAGATAAGATAAGCAGATTTCCTCTTATCTTAAGAGGGAAAAAGTAAACACTTCCAGATCCTAATCCTACCTGCTTCCCCCTCCCTGATTTCTCCCCCAAACATTCCCCTTTCCACACCCTAAAGCCCCCATATATAAAGTCCCAGCTCACAACCCGTGGGCGGACATCTTTCCCAGACATCTTTCCCTGACATCTTTCCCTTCCCCGAGGGAAAGGTGCCCTGTGTGAAATAAATCTGTATCCCGCTGAGAATTCCATCTGTGCCTCGGTGCCTCATCCATCCACTCGTGCTCTCCATCCGCGCCACTCGCACCCACCCGCTCTCTACCTATCAGGCTCCATGTGTCAGTTTATAGATAAACTGAACTAGGTAAACTCTCTTCCTGAGAGGCAAATTCCCCAGCTGACTGGTTTTAGCCTTTCTCTTCCCCCAGGATAGGTTTCCTGGGGAAGTTTTCATTCTTTGTGGTGTACTATTTTAATAATCCAAGAGAGTGGCACAAGTGTCTCTCTTCAGAATATCTCCTCTCCTGCCAGGATAGTTACAAGCAGATTACTAGCTTCCACCAGCTCCAAAGCTAAGATGTCATTTCTATATTGAAATAGTTCTACAAACTGATATTTGCAAAAACAAAGCTATGCATGAAGACACAGGGAAAAAAATGATTGCAGCAGCTTAAGAATGAATGTTTGGGGGCTGGAAAGATGGCTCAGTGGTTAAGAACACTGGTTGTTCTTACAGAAGACCCAGGTTCGAATCCAAGCACCCACATGGCAGCTAACAACTGTCAGTAACTCCAGTTCCAGAGGATCCGACAGCCTCTTCTGACCTCCGGGGGCATTGCCCCAACAAACTTGGCTAGGCCAAGCACTTATGGGTGCACTTACCTACATGCAGGCAATATACACATACACATAAAATAAAAATAATAAAAATATTTAAACAAAAAAGAATGCATGTTTCTCTTCAACTCCAGTAGCAGAAGCAGGACTCACTTCATCAGGTTCGACTATTGTGCTGTCTTAAACAGAACACTGGTAGTGCCTGGCCATGGGGAATAGATCTTCAGGAATTCCTCAAGGTGTTTCATATTCTCTGTTTGTTGGATATGTGTTCTTTGTGTTGGTACACTGGGTTCAAGAGAATGCTCTTCACTTGTTTCTGCACATGGGGCCATCCAAAAATGGTGACTTCGGCTAGGTTTCTGGAATCCACTGAGACTATCCTAGGCAAGGCCTGCTCATCCACTCCAATTCTGGAATTATGGTTGGGTCTGGGCTGAAAATTGTTATCTATCAAGCCTCAAAGTAGAGTACCAGAGACTTGTTCAGTGCCTGCTGGGAACCACCACTGCCATGGGGTGGAAGAGGGCAGGGGTATGGGGTAGGGAGCCTCAGGCAGGGCACAGAGCAACCTTGGGCCTTCCGGCTGCAGTGTGACCCACTATGCCTGAGTCAGCAGCTCATGCACCTTCCCTGGGGTGGGAGTGGGGCTCTTTGACTGGTTGTAGTTTTTCGCTTTTTTTTTTTTTTTTTTTTTTTTTTTTTTTTTTTTGTCTTTTTGAGACAGGGTCTCCCTGTAGCCCCCACTGCCCTGGAACTCACTGTAGACCAGGCTGGCCTCGAACTCACAGAGATCTGCCTACCTCTGCCTCTTGAGTGCTGGGATTAAAGGCATGCGCCACCATGCCAGGTATGTGTAAGAATTTTTTAAAAATCCACCATTAGCAAGTGAGACACCAAGCCTGCCCCTGTCCCTCACAGTACAGGAGGGGAGGAACTGGATTGATGGGATCAGCTAGGTCCTTGCACAAGCATATCAAGAGGGGTCTGCTAGATCCTGGCACAAGCATGTGGGTCTGCTCGGTCCTTGCACAAGCGTGTCAGCAGGGGTCTGCTAGGTCCTTGCACAAGCATGTCAACAGGGGTCTCCGAGGTCCTTGCACAAGTATGTCACCACAAGGCAGACAGATAAGATGGGAATTCAGACCTGCCTACCATGAGACCCTAATTTAGCCACTTTCTCAAAGGAAAAGCAGGAACACCTGAGAAAGTGCACCTGGGGTCAAGCTGCTCTCCAGCTGTGGCGGGAAAGCTAAGAGCAAAGTCCTTGTTTGCGCTCCTTCAGGATCTCGTCTTCACTCGAGATGGCTGAGGTCGCGGGGAAAGCTATGTGATGTGAACACAGCTCCTTCGGACTGCAGGGACAGGGACTGTTTCCCTGGAGTGAATTTTACCTCACACTTGAGGGTCGGGGACCAGGGTTGGCATACTGGAGGGCCTTGACAGCAGGCGAGGAGCGAACACCGCGCAAACGCGGAAGGCGTAGAGGGTCGTCGTGCGCAGGCGCAGCCCCCCTAGCCCGCGCTCCTTCTGGGCAGAGAGAAGCAAGGCCTAACTTCCCGCCTCGCCCCGCCCCTCGCGTTCCCATGGAAACCCAGGGGCCAAACCCGGCCTGTGGCCTCGCCCTGGGCCTGGTCAACTCGGGCGGAGTTTGCGCGGGCGACCTTAGGAGACATGGAGCTTTCCCCAAAGTCGATGGACTCGAAGGAGAAGGTGAAGGAGAGGCGATTTGGAGGCCTGGGCCGCTGTAGGCATTTTTTCTGGCTGGGCGTCGCCTTCGACGCGGTGGGTGTGGCGGTGCTGTTCACCGGCATCTTCGCTGACCTGCTGTTCTACGACATGCTGCTCTACCTGGGCTCCATCATCATCTTCATCAGCCTCCTGTGGTGGGTCTCCTGGTACACCGGCAACATCGAGGTGTTCCCGGAAGACCCGGTGAGGAGGTCTTCGCACCGCAGCAGCCGCCGCTTCTCCCTGGCCTTCGGGAGCGTCCCCAACACCTTCCTGCGGATACGGCGGCAGCGGCGGCGGCGGCGCCCGAGGGTCCTGCGGGAAACCGATTGCCCTAGCCCGCAGGAAGGGCAGAGCGTCGACTGCCGCGCGGTGGAGAGCGACAAGGCTTCAGCCCATCCAGCGCGGCCTGTCTTCGCTGCGAATCTGCCACAGCATCGCACCGTTCAGGCCTCCAAGAGCCTGACTGTGACGGCTTGTCAGCCTTTCGCCATTTCTACTTCCAGGAGCCAGCCTGTCTTTTCGGGAACCTCTCACTGCTACCCTCCAGAGCCTGTGACGTCGCAGAGCCACCCCCAGTTCTTTGTGTCCTCTGACAACCACCCCCAGGTGGCAATGTCACCTGGCAGTCAGGTGCCTGGGGACCCTCAGAGACGCTCCAAGATCAGTGTGGCCTCTCAGAGCTACACTCTGGGACAAGCGGACTCTCATAGCCACTTTCTGGTGCCGGTGGCCTCTGAAAGTTTCCCTATGGTACCTATGATCTCTCAGACTTACATCCAGGGCTCTGTAGCCTCACAAAACCAGCTCCAGCATCTTCCTCCTGCCTCTCAAACTCAGCCTGCAACTGTTAAGAGTTCTGGAAGCCACATTTTGGCCACTCAGGTCCCTGTGGTGCCACCTGAGTTTGCCCAGATTGTGCACACCCAGGCCTCTTTAGCCCAGACTTCTCAGAGTCATTCTTTAGCTGTCCAGAAGGTTTCTAAGTCAAGTGCTGAAGCTTTTGAGACTGTGCCAGCACCCAGCCAGAAACTAACTCAGGAGCAACCTGACAGGGCATCATCTGTTTCTCGGGCCATACATCCAGCCACTCAGGCCCAGCAGTCTGACCCCAGTGACCACACTCCAGCCTCGGGGGCAGTGAGGAAAAGTCACCCTTTCTAATAGGCACCAGACCCCAGCCATTTGACTGGATACTCAGACCTTTGCCAAGTAAGTCTTTTGGAGGAAGTCACTAATATCACCCCCTTTATTGTTTCCAAGCCTGTGTTCTAGTGGCTTTCTCAACTCCTGACTAAAAAAATAAAGTGGAAGCAAAGTGATTTTGCACTTCAGGGATTATTTTGATGATTGATAGACTTTTTTTTTTTTTTTTGGTTTTTTTGATACAGGGTCTCCCTGTAGCCCCAGCTGGCCTGGAACTCACTATGTAGACCAGGCTGGCCTCAAACTCACACAGATCCTCCTGCCTCGGCCTCCACACCCAGCTTTCAACTCTCCTTTTAAAAAATATAGAGAGAGGCAGAGGCAGGAGGATCTCTGTGAGTTCAAGGCCAGCCTGGTCTACATAGTGAGTTCCAGGACAACTGGGGCTACAGGGAGGCCCTGCTTCAAAAAGACAAAAAAAAAAAATGTGTATAGGTGCTGGAGAGATGGCTCAGCAGTTAAGAGCACTGACTGCTCTTCGAAAGGACCCAAGTTGGGTTCTCAGCACCCACTGGGGCTAACAACCATGTGGAATTCCAGTTCCAGGGGATCCAATGCCCTCTTCTGGCCTCAGAGTACTGCATACACATGGTGCACTTACATACATTCAGGCAAAACACTCATTCAGGTAAAAAAAAATATTTTTGTCTTTTTGAGACAAAGTCTCTCTGTAGCCTCAGCTGGTCTGGAACTCACTATCTCACTTTGTAGACCAGGCTGGCCTTGAACTCAAAGAGATCTGCCTGCCTCTGCCTCCCAAGTGCTGGGACTAAAGGCGTGCACCACCATGCCCAGCTCAGGTAAAACTTTGGGAAAAAAAAGTATGCATAAGGGATAAAGGGCTGGTGTAGTAGGTCAGAGATAGAATACTTGCCTAGCATGCTCATGTCTCTGGGTTGAATCTCCTATTACCAACAAAAAATAAAAATAAGCCAGGCATGGTAGTACACGCCTTTAATCCCCACACTCGAGGCAGTGATCTCTGGATCTCTGTGAGTTCCAGGCCAGCCTGGTCTACATAGTGATTTCCAGGCCATCTGAGGCTACAGGGAGACCCTGCCTCAAAAAGACCAGTAAGTAAGTAAGTAAGTAAATAAATAAATAAATAAATGAATGAATGGGGAGGTGAAAGGGCTGGAGGTGAATTTCAGTGGTAAAGGGATTGTCAGACATACATTACTGTATATATGTCCATCTATATGTGTATGTTTATAGATATATATATATATATCCATATAGGAGCAAAATATCAGCAAGCCATAATTTCAAGAGGAAAGGACTTAGTATTAGTTCAAGAAGTCATTCTGAAGCCAGATGTAGTTTAATCTGAGCACTTGGGAGGCAGAGACGGGTGGAACTCTGAGATGGAGGCCAGCCTGGTCTACATAGTGAGTTCTAGGCCAGCTGGGCCTACAGGGAGACCTTGTCTCAAGAAAACAGAAACAAATAAGTCATTCCCTACCCCCTTAACTCTATTTCTTGGGGGTAGTTTATATGATTGAAATAATCATCTATGGACCTCTTAGAGACTTAAACACTAAGTACCAGGAACAAGGTAAACACGAAGATGAAAGGATACAGATCTTGTCAACAGAAAGCTTTGTAGTGTTCTCTTAATCAAAGCAATAGCTCTGAGGACGACTGAAGTTTAGCTACGGAAGAAGGAAGTCTTTAGCAGGCCAGAGAGAGAATTATATTTTTGGCAGGAGGAGCAACTCCAGACCTCAAATAATTCTTTGACCACACAACTTGTTTTATTTCTAGCCAGTACCAGACTTTGAATTAAGCACTGGGCATTCAGAGCTAAATATGGAGGTGATGCTTTCCAGGTACTCAGCATTTATCAAGACAGATGGACACTGGAATAACTGCTACTGTGTAATGTAGTACTTTTAGAATACCAATGAGGGCTGGGTAAGGGGTGTCTGAGTTATAGCCTTCATTGGGTGAAGACCATGGGTGAAGGGAAAAGTATCATCAAAAAGACTCAGAAAGAGGGCTGGAGAGATGACTCAGCAATTAATGGTACTTGCTATTCTTCCAGAAGACCCCAGTTTAGTTCCCAGCACCCACTCTGAGCAATTCACAATTATCTGTAACTCTAACTCTTGCAATGCCCTCTTCTGGCCTCCAAGGATACATACACATAAATTTAAAAAAGAAAAAAAGTAAAATACATCTTTTTTTTTTTTTTTTTTGGTCTTTTTGAGACAGGGTCTCCCTGTAGCCCCAGCTGTCCTGGAACTCACTATGTAAACCAGGCTGGCCTTGAACTCACAGAGATCTGCCTGCCTCTGCCTCCTGAGTGCTGGGATTAAAGGCGTGCGTCACCACACCTGGCTTTAAAATACTCTTTTTAAAAAAGGATGGTGGCCTGGAGAGATGGCTTGGCAGTTAAGAATAGTTGCTGCTCTTCCAGAGGATCCAGGTTCAATGGCAGCTAACAATCCTACATAACTCCAGTTCCAGGGGATCTGACGCCCTCTTCTGGCTTCTGCAGGCATTGCACACATGTAGTGCACTTATATACATGCAGGCAAAACACTCATACACATGGTCTTTTTGAAACAGGGTCTCCTTGTAGATCCAGCTGGCCTGGATCTCTCTATGTAGACCAGGCTGGCCTTGAACTCACAGAGATCTGCCTGCCTCTGCCTCCCAAGTGCTGGGATTAAAGGGATGTGTCACCATGCTGGGAAATAATATTTTTAAAAAATAAAGGAATGAGGCCAGGCATGGTGGTGCAGGGGATGTAGATAAGCTAGTAGAGTACTTAGTTAGCATGCACCAATCACTAGGTTAAATACCCAGCATTGCATAAACCAGGTGTGGTGGTAGGTACAAGCCTTGTTCAAGGTCATCCTCTGCTACATAGGGAGTCTGAGGCCAGCTTGGGCTACATCAGACCCTATCTCAAAACAAAACAAAACAAAATTAAGCGATGGGTGAGACGAATTAGCAGGTAAAGGTGCTTATCACCAAGCTTGATGATCTAAGGAGAGAGCCTCCATTCATAGATTGTCCTCTGATCTAAGCACTTAGGGGTTTATATTCAACAAGGTAGAGAGGGGGGAAAAAAAGACAAAAAGTTTTAAGACAGAGAATGTAATAATTCATGGCTTGTTAGGGATTCATCTGGGAAAGAATAGCACAATGTCAAGGGTGATTGAGACTTGGAGGTTGGAAAGAGAAAGGAATATTGCATGTCTGAAAGTAAAGTTAGGAAGTTAAAATGAGAGGAGGTGAGGAACTTTCTAGGGCTGGGAAACCTTTGAAGCACTTTTCTTTTTTCTTGTTTTGTTTGAGACAAGGTCTTACTGTGTACATGTCTTAAGATTCTCCTAAGTCTCCTCAGCCTCCTGAGTATCACAGTGTCTGGTTTCTGAGTTCTTTTGGGCTTTAGTCATGTAGCCCAGGTTGGCTTCACACTCTGTATTTAGCTGAGGATGACTTTGAACCTCTGATCATCCTGTACTCTGGAGTACTGGGATTATAAGTATGCATCACTATACCACATTTATGCAGTGCTGGAGGTGGAACCCAGCTTTTTGCATGTTTGGTAAGCATATAGCTCCAGCTCATCACACCTGGCTTCTTTGCAATCTTTTTAGCAGGGTAGAATTGTGTTTATAGTTTTCAGTTCTTCCTGTAGTCTCTCTGTAAATAGCAACAGGACAATAATTGGAATTAATTGCTAAAATATCCCTCATTAAATTATAGGCAAAAAGCCAGGCATGGTGGTTCATACCTGTAGTCCCAGCACTTGGGAGGCAGAGGCAGGCAGATCTCTGTGAGTTCAAGGCCAGCCTGGTCTACATAGTGAGTTCCAGGACAGCTAGGGCTACAGGAAGACCCTGCTTCAAAAAGACAAAAAAAATTATGGGCAAAAATAGACTTCTTAAATGTTAGTAACAGTTCCTGCAAGGTGTGGTGGGGCACTTAGGGAGGCAGAGGCGCTGTATAGTCCTGTGTAGGACAAAAAGCCATGTCTGATAAGGGAGGGGGTTCTCAAATTTCCATCAATAGATAGCTTTAAATTTCTTGTCATGGAATTAAGAATTTCATATCACCAGGCGTGGTGGCACACGCCTTTATCCCAGCACTCCTTGGGGAGGCAGAGGCAAGTGGATCTCTGTGAGTTCAAGGCCAGCCTGGTCCACATAGTGAGTTCCAGGACAGCTAGGGCTACAGGGAGACCCTGTCTCAAAAAAAGAAAAAAAAAAGTAACTGTTCCTAAGTCTAGGCTCCAAGAGTATTTATCTTGCAAACACTTCCAGGGTTTTATTTTCATGTTATAACATTTTTTGTTGTTACTAGTATAACATTATATGGAGTTAATATTTACTAAGTACTATAATGCATTTCTTCATGTTATAACATTTTTTGTTGTTACTAGTATGACATTATATGGAGTTAGTGTTTACTAAGTACTATAATGCATTTCTATGTGTTGCTAGCAAGATAAGTAATTATCTTAAAACAGGAATCCATGTTTTGTTTTGTTTTGTTTTTTCAGATAGGCCAAGGTAATAAATATTTTAGACTTTGTGGGCCAAAGACAAAATCAAAGATGTTGTCAGACTACTTTAAAAAAATTTTTTTTTTAATTTTATGTGTGTGTATTGCCTGTATGTAGGTAAGGTCACTTGTGTAGTGCAATGCCCTTAGAGGACAGAAGAGACTGTTGGATCCTCTGGAACTGAAGATACAGACAGTTGTCAGCTGCCACGTGGGTGCTGGGATTCGAAGCTGGGTCTTCTGCAAGAACAGTCAGTGTTCTTTACTGCTCAGCCGTCTCTCCAGCCCCATAAGACTACTTTTATAACAAAAGAGACTACTCATGTTCTGATCTGCCTGCTTGCCTGGAATAGGCTGTACAGCTCCTTTTATTCCAGTTATATAATCTGGAATCATTTACCTGACCGCCAACAAGTGCTTGCCTAAGGGAGAGGATACCGAGTGGGGCACACGTGCAGCCAACACTGTTTCTTTCACTCTCTCCCAGTAATACCCCGATGTAGCCCTCTATTCAGGCAAAATACCCAGCCTTCTCAGCTTGGTTTGCTGGCCCAAGATGAGATGATATGTCAGCTTCTGAATTCTAGATGGAGAGTCTACCTTTCTGAGCTTGGTATTTGCCAACAGCAGAGACCCCATTGTATGGTGATGCGTAGGTCCTGGGAAGGCCACTGGTCAGAGAGGCAGGTCCTCTGAGTGCTTAGCTAGGAAATGAATCCCTAGTTTGGTCTTTGATGCTCCCCATGAAAGTCTACAACAGTATAAAAACTTGGGGTGAGGAGGGTGCCCAGTGATATCAACCTAGTGTCCAGAGACCAGAGATGCTGTGAAGCCTCCTAACAATGTATAGGACAGTCCATGTAATACAGAATTATCTAACCTATAGTGTCAAAAGTGTGAGCTTGAGAAGCTCTAATCTATAGCACTAAAAAGGCCTCCCCTCTTCTGTTTCTTATCCAATAGACCTTGAGAATCTTATTCATCTATGGTCTATCTTATAGCTTCATTTTGTATCATTTTTGAATAAATATACATATTTATTAATACTAGCTAATGGATATTTATAATATACTAGACATAATGCTAAGTTATTTACAGGCATTCATTTTTTTTTTGTCTTTTTGAAGCCGGGTCTCCCTGTAGCCCCAGCTGTCCTGGAACTCACTATGTAGACCAGGCTGGCCTTGAACTCACAGAGATCCACCTGCCTCTGCCTCCCGAGTTCTGGGACTACAGGCATGTGCCACCACGCCCAGCTAGGGCATTCATTTTTAAAAAAATATTTTAGTTGTTATTTTTATTTTATGTGTATGAGTGTATTGCCTGCATGAATGTGAGTGCACCTGTGTCATGCAATGCTGCGGAGGTCAGAAGAGGGCTTCGGTTGGAGGCATTCATTAAAAGACTTGGACAGCATTGTTATCTACACATAAAGGATGGATTTGACATTGAGAGACTAATTTTTCCAAAGTCATACAAATAGAGGACCTGGAATTAATAATCAATGTATAATATGTTATAAGGCATATGTGAAATTTTTTCCTTCCAAATTAAAGTTACTAGCCTTAGCTGGGTATGGTGGGGCACACCTTTAATCCCAGCACCCAGGAGGCAGAGGCAGGTGGATCTCTGTGAGACAGAGGCCAGCCTGGACTCCATAGTGAGTCCCAGGCCAGGTAGGGCTGCAAGAAGACCCTTTCTCAAAAAAGACAAAAAAAATTATTGGCCTGGCAAGGTGATTCATATCTGTATCCTCAGGCGTGGTGGCACACGCCTTTGACCCCAGCACTCAGAAGGCAGAGGCAGATGGATCTCTGTCAGTTCAAGGCCAGCCTGGTTCACAAAGCTGGTCAACATAGCCTCAGGCCATCTGGGGCTACAGGGAGACCCTGTCTCAAAAACGCGGAAACAAGCAACAACATACCCCAAATTATTAACAAGCCTTTCCAGAAGCCGGTCAATTGTAATTTAAGCTGTGATACTGCAGGTCAATTGATGGATTACTTCTCAACTGAAACCTTTACTGTCAGAAAAAAAATGTTTTCTTGTTCCACTCTACCTTGTTATGTTTATAAATATTATCTCAAATAAAATTGCCTTTTTCTTTCCAGAACTTACCAATGTTTCTACAGACCTAACTGCCAGCTATATAAAAGCAGAAGTTCCACTTGGAGCCCTGACCTATCTCAGACCAACAGACTCATTAGACTGCCGATGCCAAATATACCTGTTTCAGTGTTAGTGATAGTTTCCCAGCCTCCAACAATAATGTTATTTATTGGTGAAATTTTAAGTCATAATAAACTTTGTTTTTCTGAATGAAATTTATTTTTAAAATAAATGAGTTAAAAAAATAGACTTGTCTTTGAAAAGCATTTCAGAAATCTGAATAGAAATTAATGTCCCACATACTATGGGTGAAAATGTGCTAACTTGCTTATCAGGTACTTAAAAGATGATTCAGTCTCCAAGAAGCCATTTAAACCATATAACAAGAAAATTAAGGGTGTAAATAGTGTTGAGGATATGGTGGTAGCATGCTGAGCAAGCACAAGGCCATAGATTCAATCCCTCACACCCTAAGAAAATGTGAGGGGGTTAAATAATCACTAGATAATTATGCTATAAGTCATCAAGCACTGGTTGCAGTTTTTTAAATAAAAAGTTAAAAAAAAAAGCCCCATAGGAAGTTGGGTGTAGTGGTGCAATTCTGTAGTACCAGCACTTACTTGTGATGATGGATGCAGGAAGATCAAAATAGGCCATCTTTTGATACATAGGAGTTTGAGGTCAGTCTGGGCTATGAGAGATGCTGTCTCAAAAATCAAAAACAGAGCCATTTAAAATGACTCAATGAGTAAAGGCACTTGCCACAGAGCATGATGGCCTGAGGATCCACATGGTGGAAGGAGAGAACTGAAAGTTGTCCTCTAGGCATCTTATTCTTTGCAACTGGAGTTATGTGAAATCAGGAGCCACCATGTGATACTGGGAACTGAACTCAGGTCCTCTGCAAGAGCAGTAAGTGCTCTTAACTGCTGAGCCATCTCTCCAATCCCAAATGTAATTTTGTTTTGTTTTGTTTTTGGAGACAGGGTCTCACTATGTAGCCCTGGCTGGTCTGGAACTCACTATGTAGACAAGGCTGGTAGACCACAGTTCCAGGGGATCCGACAGTCTCTTCGGTCTTCGGCGGGCATTGCGCAACATGGGTGCACTTACCTACATGCAGGAAATAAATGCATACACAAAATAAAAATAATAAAATAAATATTTTTTAGTATTTTTATTTTATGTGTCTGAGTGTTATGCCCTTATGTAGGTAAGTGCACCCTCATGCAAGCCCGCAGAGGACAGAAGAGGCTGTCGGATCCCCTGGAACTGGAGTTACAGACAGTTGTTAGCTGCCATGTGGGTGCTGGGATTTGAACCTGGGTCTTCTGCAAGAACAGTCAGTGTTCTTAACCCATGAGCCATCTCTCCAGCCCAATAAAATATTTTTTAAAAAGCCTAAAATCAAGCTGGGTGTGGTGGTGCACACCTTTAATCCCAGCACTCGGGAGGCAGAGGCAGGCGGATCTCTGTGAGTTCTTATTTTGATATATCACAGTGAAAGATTTATCGTCCTCTTTTTTTTTTTTTTAAAAAAAAAAAAAAAAAAAAAAAAAAAAAAAAAAAAAAAAAAAAAAGCCTAAGACCAGTGTTCTTAGCCAATGAGCCATCTCTTCAGCCCCACAAAGTATATTTTAAATGATAAGTTTCAAAATATACAAAATGTTACAAATGAACAATTTAGTGATTATTTTCTTCTGCAGTGAATCTGCTATGGTCTGAATATATCTTCAAAAAAATCATTTATTGATGGGGCCTGAGAAATGACTCAGTGGTTAAGAGTGGTGCTTCTATACCTGCAGACAATACAGTCATACACATTAAATAAATAATAAATTTATTTATTGAAAGTTAATTATCAGTGTGATAGTATTAATATGTAGCTCTTTTAAAATTTATTTTTTAATTTATTTTTATTTTATGCATATGAGTGTTTTGCCTGCATGTGTGTATGTGCAGTACTTGCATGCAATGCCTGTGGAGGTCAGAAGAGGGTGTCATATCTCCTGGAACTAGAGTTGTGGACTATTAGCCACCATTTGGGTGCTGGGAACCAAACCTAGGTTCTCTGCAAGACAGCCAGTGCTGCTAATCACTGAGCCATCTCTCCAGCCTAAAGATGTAGCTCTTTTGAGATCCCTCATGAATGTGATTAGCAACCTTGCAAAAGGGTTGGAGGGAATTAGGTTCTTTTAGCCTTTTGTCTCTTGTATTTCTTTTACTCTCCTCTGGTAATGGGGATTGAGCCCAGGGCCTCCTACATGCTAGGCAATTGCAATACCGCTAAGCTATATCCTCAGCCCACCTCTTTTTCCTCTACCATGTGAGGACACAGTATTTATTCCCTGGAATCCGGCAACAAAGCAGCATCTTGGAAACAGCCACTGGGCTCTCACATGAAACCTACTAGTGACTTGATCTTGAACCTCCCAGTCTCCAAATGTTGAGAATAAATTTCTGTTGTTTTTAAACGATCCAGTCTCAAGTACTTTGTTATAACAGCATGAATGGACTAAGTCAAGATCCAGTTCTCTTTCTGCCTTATAGTTTTCATTTGGCTACTCCTATAATCAAGTATCCTTGGCTACATAGTACATTTAAGGTCAGTGGGAGATACATGAGACATGAGACCTTGTCTCAAAAAAAAGAAAAAAAAAAAGGGAGGACTGAAGGACTGAAGGTGAGCTGGCTCAGCAGCAGGTAAAGGCACTTGCTGTCAAGGTTGAGCACTTGAGTTCAATACCTGGAACCCACAGGGTGAGGGAGAGAAACAACTCCCACATGTTGTCCTAACACACGTACACATAATAAATATAATAAAATTTTTAAAAATTCAATTTTGTGTGAAATGTCTGATTCCAGGCCTAGGCTCAAGTGATCCTAGATTTTATTTTACTGTATTTTAAAACATTTTATTATTTATTTTATGTGTATGAGTGTTTTGCCTGCATGTACGTTAAGTGCACCATGTGTGTGCAATGCCCCCCAGAGGCCAGAAGAGGGTGTCAGATCCCCTGGAACTGGCATTAAGGATGGGTGTTATCTGCCACGTGAGTACTGGGAATTGAACCCAGGTCCTCTGGAAGAGCCGCAAGTGCTCCTAACTGCTGAGCCATCTCTCCAGCTCAAGTTCTCTTTGTGTGTGTGTGTGTGTGTGTGTGTGTGTGTGTGTGTGTGTGTGTGTGCGCGCGTATGCCTTATATTTGTAAGGGCAGAACTTAAACTGTTGGCATTTGTTTCTGTTACTTGTGAGCCACAAAGTTTAGCTAACAGAAGTACTCCAAGGATGTTTGTAAATTTATCTCTGGGGAAGACTGCTCTTTTGAAGAAGTTTAATGGGTCTTTTGGGTATATGAAGTAAAGAGAAACTACATAATGGAATGAAGAAGTGCAGAAAAATTACACTGTAATGAACAAGGATGTTAAAAGTTTGTGTCTCCAGAGGCACCTTACTAATACTTGTTGTCTTGTTCATTGAAAAGAGGTGACAAGTGAAGTTGACACCCTGGTAAAGACACAACTGAATAAAGGAGCCAGCCATGCTAGTCTGTGCTATAATCCCAGCACCAGGAAGGGTAAAGCCAGACCGTTGCTGAGTTTGAGGCTAGACTGGGCTATAATGAGACCCTGTCAAACAAACCTGCCTAAAGGAAGCTTTTAGCCCAGCAAGATGAGTTGGCTTATGAAACATGGAGGCTAAATAGAAGCTCCTCATTGAAGGGGCATGAACAACGAATGCTAGGAGTGAATTATTCTATTACAATTTAAAATATTAATTTATTGTAAGTTAACATTTTAAAATTATACTTTGTATTATGTGTTTGTATGTGTATGTGTATGTGTGCAGGTGCACATATACCATGTGGCATTCACACAGGTCAACTTGTAGGAGTTCATTCTTTCCATCTACTGTGTGGCTCCTGGGGATTGAACTCAGGTTCTCAGGCCTGGCAGCAAGTGCCTTTACTCACTGAGCCTTCTCAATGGCCCTCTACTTAGTTTTTACTGTTTTTTGTTTGTTTGCAGTGCTGGAGACTGAGCCCAGGGCTTGTGCATGCTAGGGAAGCCCTCTACTATTGTTTTGTTTTGAGACAGGGTCTCACACTGTAGCCCAGGCGATCCTGGAACTCACGGTGTAGCCCATGTTGGCTTTCAACACTTGGTAATTCTCCAGCGTTAGCCCAGCATAAGCATAGTCTTAATTGTGCTTTGGAAAATAAGCAGCTATGCTGCGCTTAAGGAACACCTTAAACTTTAAAAACCAAGATACTGAGTACCTTTGGGAGGAAATGGCATCTGGGAGCAGCATACAGCACAGGAAGCTTCAACAGCAAAGTTTAGGGTTCTGTTTCTTAAATTTGATGGTGCAGTCACAGGTGTTTTACTTTCTGTACATGTCCAACTTTTATTTATTTTTATTTGTCTTTTTGAGACAGGGTCTCCCTGTAGCCCCAGCTGGCCTGGAACTATGTAGACCAGGCTGGCCTCAATCTCACAGAAAACCACCTGCCTCAGCCTCCCGTGCTGGAATTGGAAAGCGTGCACTAGCACGCCAGACCTACACGTCTAACTTTTAAAATGAAGTTGTGGTTGAATTGACAGTTACTTGACTATTGACACTCATCTTGGATTGTATGTGAATTGTACACATCATTGTGTTTACCTCGCTTTGCTTTGTTTTGGGGGTTCTGGGGAGGGAACTCGGGTCCTCAAACTTTTACCATCTCCTCAACTTTTTAAATGTTTGAGACAGGGTCTCGTGTAGTCCAGGGGGCTTCAAACTCACTATGTAGTAGAGGCTGGCCCTCAACGCCTCATCCTTCTGCCTCCTCCCAAGTGCTGGGATTACAAGCGTGCGCCAGCACGATCCGCTTCTGAATGCGGTTTAGATTCCAAATAGTCCTCAGGGGAACCCAGCCGTCGCCTTTCCCGGTTGGGTGTCCCAGGTACTCCTTAGGGACCCTCCGGGTCTCTCCGCCCTCCCGCCCCAGCGCAGGCCACGAGGCCTCCCGGCGTCGCGAGAGAAACGTCGTCCTCCGCCAGGAGGCCTCCGGGGAAGGATAAACCCTTGGGCGCTCTATCCAGCCACGACCGCCACTTTCTCCCTAGATGGGCAGGGATTAGCGGAAGGTCCCCGCTCTAGAGCGATTTCCGGGGCTGGCGCGGCACGGGGCGGGGCTGAAGGAACTTGGCTTCCGGCGGCGCGAGGCACTGAGCTTGCGCCTCTCTGGCCGGATGGCGGCTCCGGTGCTCCACACGCGGCTGCTGAGCGATTCCGAGGCTGCGGCCTCTGCGGTGTCCACGCTGGGCTCGTCGAGGACTGGGTAAGATCCCGAGCACCTCCGCCTCTAGTTGTGGGGCGGGAGCCGGGCGTGCGGGGGTGCCGAGGCCTGGGAGCCGGAGGTGCTGAGGCCGGGGAGCTCGGGCATGCGGGGGTCCCGAGGCCGGGGAGCCGGGGGTACGGATGTGCCGAGGCCGGGGAGCCGGGCGTGCGGGCCGGCCCAGCTTCGCAGGAACCAGCGGTTCCCCCAGCGTGGGCAGCCGACAGGCGAAGGCGCGGGGTAAGCTAGTCTGCACGGTCTCGCAGTCACCCCGGGGGCGCCCCTGGGGACCTGGGCCTGCCTTCTGCGCCTTTCCTCTTCCTTCAGTTTCCAGGTGGGCGGCATTCCCCGGGCTGTGGCTGTGGATTTCCGGATGAATGCTGTCACTGTTGACAAGTCGAATCCTAAGGTTTTGTTTCGACTTTTTTTTTTTTTTTTAAATCTTTATGAGACAGGGTCTCCCTGTAGCCCCAGCTGTTCTGGAACTCACTCTGTAGACCAGACTGGCCTTGAACTCACAGAGATCCACCTGCCTCTGCCTCCCGAGTGCTGGGATTAAAGGCGTGCGCTAGTACGCCCGGCTTCTTTTTTTTTTTTAATATTTTATTTTATTATTTTATGTGTATGAGTATATTGCCTGCATGTATGTGAGTGCACCCGTGCGTCACCACGCCCGGCAGTTTCGGCTTTTTTCTAAGGTCTGAGGTTCTGCACAAAGGAGCAGCAGACCCAAATGAACCGTACTTTATCTAAGAAGTAATGTTTTCCCCAATTTAAAGAATTCCTAGTCCTTATAAAATTCTAATAGTGTAGCTTTCAGACTTTGAAGGATACTGTTTAAATGAAGTAGACCTTATAAAGCATAATAGAATAATATTCTATTATTTATTTATTATCAGTTATTTATGAAGTGCATACTTACTGTGTTAACGGCATATCCAGAGACTTGCTTTCTTAACTATCAGATACCAGTAAGTGCTGTGAGACTGCAGTACAGCACGGTAGGGGAAGAGGTAAGGGGAGAGGATGGGTGTGTTAGGTTTCTAGGGGAGAAGGCCTCTGACATTTGAGCTTCAACTTAAATGAGTCCAACTCTGTATATATCTGGGAAGTGCTTCTAATAAAATGAACAAGTGAAATGGGAACCAGCCTGACAAGTTTGGGGAATAGAAAGGACACCCTGCTTGTAATGAGTTGGTTGTACATGACATCAGGGAGGTAGGCCACGTTAAATAGGATCTTACTGGATTATTGTAGCAGTTTGGATTCTCCTTTCTCTTTTCCTTCTCTTTCTCTTCTTAAAAATTTTAATTTTGAGACAAGGTCTTGCTGTGTGACCTAGGTTAGTCTGAAATACCTGGATGCTGCCTCAGTCTCCCAAATGTTGGGTTTTCAGGCATGTCTTGTCACACCTATTAAGAATTTGAGTTTGGGGACCCGAGAGATGGCTCAGAGGTTAAGAGCACTGGCTGCTCTTGCAGAGGACTCTGGTTCAATTCCCAACACCCACATGGCAGCTAACAACTGTCTGAAACTCCAGTTCTAGGGAATCTGACACCCTTTTCTGGCCTCTGAGAGCATTGCATGACAGAGGTGCTCCTACCCACAGGAAGGCAATATACTCATACACATTAAAAAAAGAAAGAAGCCTTAGCCTAGTCCCACATAATGATGTTGGTTCAGTAATTCACTGTTACATGGTCATGAGTTTAATAGCTTGGTAATCTTTGTTCTGTAGGATTTCAGATATGCTTGCATTAGAGAATGATTTCTTCAATTCTCCCCCAAGAAAAACTGTTCGTTTTGGTGGAACTGTGACAGAAGTTTTGCTGAAATACAGAAAGGTATGAAGAGATACTGTGTGGAGTTTAGTTTTTGTTAGACTATAATAGCCGTTATATTGAAGATCAGCATAAGGCCAGGAGTGTAGTTCAGTGCTAGTGTATACTTCAAATGGTCAAGACCTTGTGTTTATCTTGAGCAACTCCCTCCCCTCAAACAAAAACTAGCATACACAATAAAATGAATTTTGCCATTCATTTGTCTTTTCTTTTTGGTTTTGCAGAAGGAATTGAATCTAGGACCTTTCCCATTGCTGGCAAATGTATATTCCCAGCGTAAGAATTAAAGGTATTGTGACATATGCCTTTAATTCCAGCTCTTGGGAGGCAGAGGCAGGTGGATCTTTTTAAGTTCAAAGCCAGCCAAGGCTACATAGTTAGGCCTCGTCACCAAAAAGGAAAAAAAATTTTTTAGATACAAATATTGACATCAAATATTGAGTGATACGTGACATTGTCAGTTCAAAGGTAGTCAAAATGAGTTTGCTAAAGTTTCATGCTATGTTTACTTAGTATATTTTGAAAACCTTACAAAGTGGTAAAATTAAAACAAAATTATCACTTAAATCATCTTATCTCTTAGGGAATTAGCTAAGCATTACTTTGGAAGAATAAACTAGAGATTTTTACTTGTTTTTGTATTGGCTTAAAAGTGATCCTCTAGCCAGGCGTGGTGGCGCACACCTTGAATCCCAGCAGAGGCAGGTGGATCTCTGAGTTTGACACCAGCCTGGTCTCCATAGTGAATCCAGGACAGCTGGGGCTACAGGAAGACCCTGTTTCAGAAAGACCAAAAAAAAGTGATCCTCTAGACCTCATCACTAGAGAATATAAATGACTTTGTACTTATGTACCTGTAGTATCCACTAATAGCTATACATATGAATAGATATTATTTTGATTCTCCCTTACTTAGATCATTATAGGTAGCCCTGCCTGACCTAGATCTTGCTATATAGACCAGGCTGACCTTGAACTCAGAGATCTTCCTGCTTCTGGGACTAAAGGCATATGCTACCACTTCTGGCCATTACAATGCTTTTCATCTCATACTTTGAGAATTTTCAGTATCAGCTGTACAAATGTCAGTACAAAAAATAGCTAAATATGAATGGCTTTTTAGTTACTTGTCACTTGTTTTCTAGATCTATGATTGTACTAAGATAATTTTGTTGTTTTTGGTTGTTTTTCTTTGTGGTACTAGGGATTTAACCTGGGCTAGGGTAGGCCCTCTCCCCCTGAGCTATGGCTCCAGCCCTTGTGTTTTTTTACTTTTTATTTGCTTTATATTTCTTTTTTACTATTTATATTTTATGTTTGAGATAGAGTCTTGAGTTGCCCAGGCTGCTCTTGAACTTGCTTCTTGAGTAGCAGGGATTATGGGCCTACAAGGCCAGGTCTGGTTTGAACAGGAATTTTTATTTTTATTTTTTTGTCTTTTTGAGACAGGGTCTCCTTGTAGCCCCAGCTGTCTTGGAACTCACTGTGTAGACCAGGCTGGCCTCAAATTCACAAAGATCCGCCTGCCTCTGCCTCCCAAGTGCTGGGATTAAAGGTGTGCGCCACCATGCCTGACTGAATAGGAATTTTTAAAAGTTTTTCAGTCATGATTTTAGAATTGTGAGGGATATATGGAAGTTTCAAAGTTCTTTTTGCAATTCTGTGAGCTATCAAAGTATAATAAAAATTCTATTATTCAACAGGAGACCATAGCAAACAATTTTGTTTCTTTGTTCAGGGTGAAACAAATGACTTTGAGTTGTTGAAGCACCAGTTGTCAGATCCAGACATAAAGGTAATACAAATTTTTAAAAATTATATTTATCCAGTGTGTGTGTGTGTGAGAGAGAGAGAGAGACAGAGACAGAGACAGAGAGAGCACAAGCTTGCACACTTGTCCACACTACAGCACCACGTGAGTCTCAGGGATGGAACCCTTGGTCATCAGACTTGGTAGCAGGAGCCTTCACCAGATGAACCATCCTGCTGGACCCCCCTTTTAGGGAGGAGCCAGTAACAAAGTTACTGCCTGTTTGTGTATTTGATCCTAGTCTGTTCTCTAAAACTTGCTTTTCATGATCTCATCTTATTTAACTCAGTGGGGTTTTTTTGGTCTTTTTGAGACAGGGTCTCCCTGTGGCCCCAGCTGGCCTGGAACTCACTATGTAGACCAGGCTGGCCTTGAACTCACAGATCCACCTGCCTCTGCCTCCCTAGTGCTAGGATTAAAGGCGTGCACCACCACGCCCAGCAACTCAGTAGTTTTTGATGGGAAGCAATTTGATCGACTAGGTGACATGTAGCAACAACTGCAAATAGTTTTGGTTTTTAGAATTGGGAGGGAGGGATAGGGTAAGGGATATTTTGTATAACAAGGGAAACAGGGTTTCCCTTGCCCCTACCCAAACCTGGAGGCTTAAAAATGAGACAATAAAGACATAAGCATTGAGATCTTTTTTAAAATATTTTATTTATTATTTTTATTACTTTATGTGTACGAGTGTACCACCTGCATGTATGTAAATGCCGTGGAGGTCAGAAGAGGGAGTCAGATTCCCCTGGAACTGGAGTTAAGAGTGGTTTGTAGCTGCCATGTGGGTGCTGGGAATCAAACCTGGGTCCTCTGTAAGAGCAGCCAGTGCTCTTGATCACTGAGTCATCTCTACCCCCAAGCATTGAGATCTTTAAAGAAGATTTAATGTGCTGATGTGGTGTACATGCCCTTAATCCCAACTTGTGAAGCAGAGGCAGGTGGATCTTTGAGTTTGAGGCCAACCAGGGCTATATAATATGTATAATGAGATCCTGTCTAAAAAACAAAAAACAAAAAAAAACCCCTCAGGAGTTCCAGGGGATCCGACAGCCTCTTCTGTCCTTCATGGGCATTGAATGACAGGAGTGCACTTAATTACATGCAGGCATAAAAATAATAAGTAAAATATTTAAAAGTAAAATATTTTTAAAAAAACAACCAAGAATAACTTGATTAAAGAGCTTAGCTAAGATGTTCTATATTTCCACATCATTGTGCAGCACTGTTATTCAGAAGAACCTGACTGGGTGTGAGGGTGTAATGGCACACTCCTTTAATCCCAACACTCAGGAGGCAGAGGCAGGAGGATCTTTGTGAGTATGAAGCCAACCAGCACTACATAGTGTGACTCTTTCTAAAAAAACCAAAAATATCAATAAAGAATAAGATGCATTTAGAATAGTCTAGTCTTTGACCTGAAATAAGTAAGGACTTAGTCCTTGTTAGCTGTGATTTTGTTCCTGCTCATAATCTGTACATCTTCATTCTTTTATTTTGTTCTCTTTGAGACAGGGGCTCTCCCTGTAGCCCTAGCTGTCCTGGAACTTACTATGTAGACCAGGCTGGCCTTGAACTCACAGAGATCTGCCTGCCTCTACCTCCCGAGTGCACATCTTCATTCTTAATTTACATTAAGTCCATTTTTCTTTTCTTTTTCTGTAATTAAAATAAATATCTTTATGTGAGTGTTTTGCCTGCGTGTATGTAGGTGCACCAAGTGCATACAGTGCTTATGGAAGCCTGAAGAGGGTTGTTAACACCATGTGGGTGCTAGGAACTGAGCCTGGGTCATCTGGAAGAGCAGCTAATTTCCTTAGTACTGTCTGTGCCCCCCAGTAATTTCTTACATACTCATTGCAGTGGGCATTTTAAAGCCTCATACTAATTTATCAGTTGACACTGTTGGCCACTTCTTAAAAACTCTTCTTCATTCTCTGTCATCATTCTGTTTTCTGTTTTTTAGTTTTGTTTTTTTTTTTGTCTTTTTGAGACAGGGTCTTCTTGTAGCCTCAGCTGTCCTGGAACTCGCTATGTAGACCAGGCTGGCCTCGAACTCACAAAGATCCATTGCCTCTGCCTCCCAAGTACTAGGATTAAAGGCTTGTGCCACCACACCCAACTCTGTCTTCTTTTTTAAAAAAGTATTATTTTTTTATGTGTATGAGTATATTGCCTGCATGTGTGTAAGTGCACCTGTGTCATGCAGTGCCCAAGGAGGTCAGAAGGTGTCAGATCCCCTGGAACTGGAGCTATAGATGATTGTTAACCGTCATGTGAGTGCTGGAAATTGAACCCAGGTCCTCTGCAAGAGGAGTCAATACTCTTAACTGCTGAGCCATCTCTCCAGCCCTTGTTTTTTTTGTGACAGGGTCTCCCTGTAGTCCCAGCTGGCCTGGAACTCACTATGTAGACCAGGTTGGCCTTGAACTCACAGAGCTCCACCTGCCTCTGCCTCCCAAGTGCTGGGATTAAAGGCGTGTGCTACCACGCCTGGCTAATCTTTCTGTCTTCTAATTATTTACCTTATTAACAGGTTTTTTTTTGTTGTTGTTTTGGTTTTTGGTTTTTGAATTTTTTTTTTTTTGTATTTATGAGACAGAGTTTCTTGATAGTCCCAGCTAGTCTGGAACTCACTATGTAGATCAGTCTAGCCCAGATCTTACAGAGATTCTGTGTCTTCTGAGTGCTGAGATTTAAGGTGTGTACTGTCATTCCTGGCTTTGATGTTTCTTTTTTTTTAATACTTCTTAAGAAAAAAATATTTATTTTTATTTTATGCATATGAGCGTATTTCCTGTATGTATTGTAAGTGTATCAGTGTTGTACAATGCTGGCAGAGGTCAGAAGAGAGCATTGGATCCCTTGGAGCTCAAGTTACAGCTGGTTATTAGCTGCTCTGTGGGTGTTGGGAACTGAATAGCCCCTTGATTGTTTTTTTTTTTTTCCGGTCTTTTTAGACAGGGTCTCACTGTAACCCCAGATGGCCTGGAACTCACTGTGTGACCAGGCTGGCCTTGAACTTACTGAAATCCCGTCTGCCTCTGCCTCCTGAGTGCTAGGATAAAAGGCATGTCACCATGCCCAGGTTGATTGGGTGTTTTAACTTGACCCTTTTGAAATCTTGTGTCCTTGTGACTCCCTAATTTGTATATTGTGGCTCCTATTCTGGGCAGGCTCAGATTTGTTTCCTAACTGCCTGTCCATTGTATCTACCCCGAACTGTTAATGTGCTTCGCTTTATTTTTTAAAAAAAGACTGCTCGGCGTGGTGGCGCACACCTTTAATCCCAGCGCTCTGGAGGCAGAGGCAGGCGGGTCTCTGTGAGTTCAAGGCCAGCCTGGTCTACATAGTGAGTTCTAGGACAGCTGGGGCTACAGGGAGACCCCGTCTCAAAAAGACCAAAAAAAAAAAAAAAAAAAAAAATGACAGTAGACATGGAACTTGTTTTGTAGACCAGACCAGGCTGGCTTCAACCTCACAGTATCTTCTGAGTACCTCCCGTTGACGTAGGTCACCTCGCCTGGCCAATTTTGCAGTCTTCTTTATGCTTAACTGGTTCACTGCTTGCCCAGTTCTTAAGTTAGGGGCCTTGTCTTTCTGGCCTTTCTTACCCTTCATATCCGTTCACTCACTAAGACATTTTGAAGGGGGGGAGGGGAATCAAGTCTGGTTTTCTTGGAGTTTCTTGTCTGGATTCTTCCAGTACCCCTTCCCCCACCCTCTTAGATTCTTTCCTGTAGATTTATTATGAACAGTGTAGCCTGACTCATCTCTCCACAGGACATGCCTAGGCATGTTATTTCCCTACTTGAAAACTTCATGCCTGTGGAAGAGTGAAGATCAACTTCTTAATACAACCTGCAACATTTTTTCTGTGTTCCGTTTTACAAAATACTTTATTCATTGAATTTGCCACTTTGCACCTTGTATGTCTTTGCTGTGACTTTCCTTTCTGGCTGGCAGGCGTCTTGTATAACTTCATTTGAGCATTGTTTCTGGCAGCATTGTTCCCTCCCAAGGGCAAATTTCTGCACTTTGCTTCACTTCAGTGCCCTCATCCCTAAAATGGAAATCAGTTGTTCCTGCTTGTTTGGGTCATCGTAAGTAATAAATGAGTTAGAATATATTAAGGTCTTAGAATACTACCCAGTACACAATATATGCTGTATCTGTGTGTATTGCTATTACTATCATTACCGCAACATACAAACTTCTCTTTCAGATCTTGATGAAATGTCAGCTTATTTGTTGAAATTTCTCTGCTTTTCTAAGCATATAGCTGTTCGTTTGTTCAGTCTATTTCTTAAACCTAAGCAGATCTTTCTACCTGGCATACATGGCCTCTCTGCCCTATCTGACTCCATTGCTCACCAGATTTTTCTGTTGGTTTCTTCACTGTAAGGTGTAACCATACTGAACTATTTTCCATTTTCTGAAAATAGACTTTTCCCTCTTAAGAAGCATAACCCTAGAAAATACTATCACTTTGAAAACATACCTGAAGAATTACTTCCTCGTTAAACCTCTTCCCAACCCTTGCCTTCTTAAATAGGTCCGAAGGGGCAATTTCTTTTTCTTTGTTCCGCTCTTATCTATCAGACCTTCGCTCTCCCTACTAATCTGGTGCTGGGGTTAGAACCCAGGGCCTTAAACACCGAGCTTTGTCCTTAGCCCTCAGGAGAGTCATACTCTCTCAAAAAATTTCATTTATTTGTGTGTTTGTGCCACAGTATGCAAATGGAGGTCAGAGGACCACTTGCTGGAGTCATGTCTTGCCTTTCACCATGTAGATCCCGGGGATCAAACTCAGGTCATCATTGGCTTGCACAGCAAGCTCTTTTACCTGCCATCTCCCCAGCCACAAATTTTTGTGATATAGTAGTGTTTTGTTTTTTCCTACTTTTTAAAAGACAGGGTCTTCCTGTAGTCCTAGCTGATGTGGAACTCAACTGCACAGACCAGGCTGACATCTGCTTGCCTCT